ACTATTTTATAATGTGTTTGATATAAATTTGTGGATCAGTTATGTTGGAAAGCTAAAACTTTGAATCTACATTTCGTAACTGAATTTATCATCAAAGTAAATATGAAAACCTCATTAAAGCACTATATGTGTACGGCATTTTCTTTAGTTATAGATATATATTTATTTATGTCTATTTATGGACTAGTACTAATTAATTCATGAAGGCTAGTAACGGACTATGATTTTTAAATCTCGATGAATACTTAACCAGAAGAGTAATAAAAACAATTTTAAGCAGTTTATTCGTAATTGGTTGAAAGTATCTTAAAAACTAGAACACTCACTAATTGATCGAGAAGAGAGTTCATAGTCTGAACTACATAGAATACCATATTAATATAGTTTTATAAATACTCAAACTAATTAATCGACATTTAAATTATCAAGCTTCTTGTTTCTTTATGACAGTTTTGTTTACAAAATAAATTATGTAAATAGGTAAGCCCATAAAAAAAAGAAACTGAGGAATAGTGAAATGATTAAGATCTTGGTCTAAAATTAGTAATTTAAAACGATAAAAATTAATGGAATATATTTTACATTTGTATTAAATCAATAAATACGTATTGCTTTGTTTAAGAAAACCTCACATACGAAGAGAATTCATCAAGATTTAAAAATCATAGTCCGTTACTAGCCTTCATGAATTAATTAGTACTAGTCCATAAATAGACATAAATAAATATATATCTATAACTAAAGAAAATGCCGTACACATATAGTGCTTTAATGAGGTTTTCATATTTACTTTGATGATAAATTCAGTTACGAAATGTAGATTCAAAGTTTTAGCTTTCCAACATAACTGATCCACAAATTTATATCAAACACATTATAAAATAGTAAACTATCTATCAAAAGCTGTTATTTGTAAGATGAAATAATATCTCAGTTAACATATACAGTATAACTGTAAGCAGTGTGACTAATAACGATACTAAATTAACAAGTGAAATTTAACTCCTTAGATATAATTGACGTAGCTCATGAATCGGAATAACAAATAGCGATATTTGTAAGCAAATTTATAAATACATCCTTAAGAATACGATAACAAACATCCCCCATACTGCTTATAAATGCTATAGATGGACACGTTGTGGATATTTATCATTTAGTAGATCCAGTCACTGTATTTGATGTTATGGAAAGATATATCATTAATAGAATTTTACGCTATCTAAGGTTAGTAGTGATTTGTACGTATAGAAATTTCCATGTAGAAATGTATGCTGTAGAGCTTTCGTATTCATCCGGGAAAATTCATAGAATTAGTACAAAAGTGAATTGACATTTACTAGTTTTAATAATTGTCTTGACAAATATGTGTGACTAGATAATTCGACATGTATGTCACAAGTATATCACATTTTCCAGTTCGACTCCATCTTCTCATTACTCTTTTAAGTTTACAAGAAGGACTAATAGTTCTAAATTTTATCTAATCATTTGACTACTTATCAGCCTAACTCACCACAATTTTCATTCTATCTTGTACTCTTATAATTATTATTGTTAATATGGTTAAGTCACTCTTGTTTCATAATATTATTTATTTATAATAACCTAAACATGTGTTTCGTATTTAGTCACTTCACGACTATGATTATTCTTTCATAGTACGTTATATTTGTTTGCGCATTTTTCGTACATAATCGAGTTTCCAAAAAAATATACATGACTTACAAATGAAACAATTTTAAATTAGCGCAATAATTATGGACTCATAACTGTAGAGCCTGATGACGACGTTATTGAAAATAAATTTATTCGCTCAATTATTCTTTATCAGGAGAGGGTTTTATGAAGATTTTAGTAACATAATAGTTGGATTCGTGACTCAATTGAAGCTAGACTATCATGGAAAACCTGTTGTGAGGCAGTAACTCACTAAAGACAATGATGGAGGTTGGCGCAATTCCGTGGATTGATTGAAGTTAGACATTGACACCGTTGAATGACGGCTCAGGGGTTTAGGGGTTAAGCGTTCGCGCGCACGAAACCGATAGGTTTTTGGGCGGAATCGTGGATGCACACTGCTGAGGGATCCTATACTATAATGAAACGGCTGTCCAGTATTTCCAGGTTTTCCATGGTGATCTAGCCTCAATTTATTCATGAATTCAACCATCAAATATTCTTTGTCTTTGAAAAAATAAATCTATAGAATTACTGCTTCTCGCAAGCGTTTCACGGCTTTTGCACCTAAATGTACTCATTGCGTTCCATCTTTTGTTCTTTCATCGCAAAAGTTTTTTAAGAAAATTAGTTGTTTAACATTTTCTTCCAGCTCAATTAAATGTTGTTTATGAAAATTATTTTTTCATGTCCAAAAGGAATATGAATCTATAAGTTATTCTTATGGAAACCGTTCATTATATCAACAGTTTCCCCGGCATGGAATACCTATCCAGTATACGTACACAAATAGTATCAATATCAATACAATATGGAATTCTCAGCACAAAGTATTTCAACACGTGTTCGTTTTTTATTTCTTGATTGATCCTGATGATAAACATTGAGTGGTCGCCAGTTAGAAGTTAGTAGTTCAGGAATCAATGTCTGAATCATGTACATTCTTTACGATACATATTACCGACAACCACAATATCTTTGATTGGACATTTTTTAACCTGTACAGCGAAAGGTTATAAACTTTTCATAAACACACCTGAATAAGTTATGCGATTAATAGACATCGTGATATGTTAAAACAAACAAAAAAACAGTTAATTTGTTGAAACATCTAAATGTCAGGAACAGGTAGCCCATTTATTCAAGCAGGCCTCCAAAGATGTACTTAATCTTGTTATTGTCAAAATATGTTACATTATAGATCAAAGCAAATGGCTTAATGGAATTTTTTATCAGATAAATGATCACTGGTGTTAAATCAGTTATTTATAATTCATAAACAAAGATGTTAATAGGATAAAAGATAGTTTTAAAATAATTGACAAGCTTTCTAATGAATTGTCTAGTTATATTTTGTAAACCATCTTAGTGTCTCGAGACAGTAGGAATCTTTACTTATCTCCTATTAAACTCCATTTATTTTTCAGTCTACCTACTTTCAGTTTTATCGTATATTTTAATGATGGCAGACAACATGTAACGTTTTATTTTCGTTCATAAAAGTTAATCATATTTAGTCGCAATAAAACAAGATAAGTAAATAAATGTAAATAAAGAAAAATATAAATGATGTAATTGATCACTGTAATCTTATTCATTTGTATTATTTCAAATTATCAAACTAAAATAACATGTAATTACTAATTTGATCTGGATCAAATTTAAAATGACTAAATAATCCCTTCTGACATATATTTTCATGCTAAAATATTTTATTCATTAGCAATTTCTTTCCAAAATTATACTGTCTAATTAAATTTGTTGTTTATAATGAATTGAGGTCGCATAAAAGATTTATAAGAATCTTATTATAAATACACACTGATTACTTTACTTAACTAAGGATTATTTCTGCTCATATTGAACATTTGCTATATTCATACGTAAAGGGAATTATTTTCTAAAATATGAAGTTCATTATTTCTTATATTTTTTACACACTTTCGAAAGTTTATATATTCCCCAGACAATACAATGTCTTAACTATTAATTGTGTTTTATAAGAGGATATATCAATAATGTTATGAAACAACAACGTGATCAAGAACGTTGTTTAGATTTTGTATTAAAGTGAACTGATGAATAGAATGAGCTTTCCTTGACAATTCTTACTTTACCTAATTGATAAGTTTTTTTCACTTTCCACAATCTATGTCATTCTGGGTTGGTGGATCCAGTCGCAGATGTGAAATACAATTGAAAGGAATAAAGAAATGACAATTCGAAATAGTTGTGCATTCATCTAGCAGTTTCATTAATCATCATTAATATGGCTTGATGACGACTTTATTAATGATCTTTTATCGGTTATCATATCATCACTAAATATACCGGTCGTGTACGCACATTCGGCTACAAATCAGACGCTCAATCGTTTCAGGGCGACAAGGATTTTCCTGTTTATAAAACAAATACTTATTTTAGCGTTTTACTTAGTCTACAGGAAAAAATGTTGCCCGTAGTTAACGTGCTCATCAAATTTATTTTGTCAGTATGCATACTCACTTACGTTTTACTTTAACTGATCTATCTATTGAAGCAAATGAAATTGAGTATAAAATGCCACCAATTGATCATTTTAGAAAAACATTTTGGCTAAACACTTTCCTCCCTGTTTTAACTAATATAGCATCACCAAGAGCTTGGTTTACGCAAAATAACAACTATATTTTGCAAGTAAGTGTGATCGCTAGTATAACCAAACAAAACACTTTCATAAGTCATTAACTATTCGTGGGAAAATTCTTACACCTCAACTTTTCCTAAAGTATCTTTAAATGATGTTTATTTAGAAATCAAAAGATTATAACATTGGTCAACTTTAGCCGCAATATTTTCATCTGGTTCGTAATTCCATGGAAATTAAGTTTTTAGTCCAGAACCCCTTTTTTTATTTCTGCTCGTACATAGTTTAAAAATTTTATTCACATCCCGTATTCTTGATATCTGTCACAATTTCTAATAGCATATTATTCAATCATCATATTGTCTTTGATTCGATATTTAATATGGTTACGAATTATGTTGCTATAAGTTCCACTCAATTTTATCGATATTTATTAAGCCAACTAATCTCACTTCTGTGTAGTCTGAATTTTATGAAACATTTCAGTGTTTCTATATAGCAACGTTTTAGTGAACCGTCTACATATAATGAAATTTCATCAAATTAGTTGTATTATGGTTGTTAGACAATACGGTTAATTTTGTCTTTCCTATGACGTCATTTTAATAATATATCTATCTAAATTTTCAATATTAATTAATTAAAAAGTTTTATATGTAACTAATTTTGCATAATTTATTGTTATTTTATTTAGGTCATAGTTTATCCAACAAAGAATACTGTGAAAAATACTGGTGCAAGTGTTATAATAGTCGGTAGTTGGCTATTTGCATTAATAATGGCTAGTCCAATGTTTATTTTCACATCTGTTAGTGTGGATACTATCCGACCAAATGGACATATATGCAGTGCTAGTACAATACAAAGCGAATGGCTTCGTCAAAGTAAATACATTTATGGTATTATTACAATTGTTTTCCAGTATTGTCTACCATTAACAATGGTCAGTTATGCATATATACGTATTTGTTTGAGAATACGCCAACGACAGTTCAATGTAATACGTAAACCTATTCCAACAGTTATAACTTCTGAATTAATATCAGGCAACCAATTGGATTTTGTTGAAATTGAGCCAGATTGTAATTGCACAGATGATAAATTGAAACAAGACAGTCGATTAACATTAACTTTACCAATTAATAACATACCAGATTCTTCTACAGGTAGCTGTAAAAATCGTGGTTTTCATCCTGTACGTTGTTATAAACTAGCTGTATCACCTACATCAACATCATCGTGTGAAAACAATTTTAAACAAAAGATAGAAAATTCCAGATTTAAGCTAATTCAAAGACGCCAAACTCGAACAAATACATTACTTGCATCAATTACACTTTTATTTGTATTAGCTTGGTTACCTTTACATATTTTTAATGCTGTTATGGATCAACGTGAATCAAGAATACTTAAAGAACCATTCGATCTTACAACATTGCCACAGCCAGATATATTAGATAAAAATATTACAGAGAATTCTATTTTCGATGAGACATATAAACTTTTAAATCCAAAAATGAATGCATTCACATTATTACCAGAGCATAATCATACAGAAACAATTATAAAAGAATATGGTATTGGTAGGAAAATTACACTTATACATTCTTTTTGTTTATTATGTGTTCTTGTATCAGCTTGTGCAAATCCTGTTCTCTATGGTTGGTTAAATGAAAACTTCCATAGAGAATTTATATTAATGTTTCCAGTGTTATTTCGTTCAAAAAAACAAGTTTCATCAGTTACAGTAGGTGTTGATCATAATTACGTTAGTGCTATACAATGAACAATGGTAATTATTATAAGTATCATTTACATAAATATTTTCAAGTATATATTCATTATTTAATTATATTTATAAAATTAATGAATATGTATTATATTGTCATAAATGAGCTGTGAATGAAGTACAATGTATTTGATTAATTCATGTTTCTTTCTTTCATACTAATAAATTTAACCTATTAGGCATTCACTGTTGATTGACAAGAAGTGTACATAGTTCTTTTTTTCTTTTGTCTTTTTTTTTAATATGATGTACAATATTTTGACGGTAATCGTTGAAAACCTCTACAGAAATGTGATCATTATCGGCAAATTTTTTCAACAAAAAAATAGAATTTCCTGTGACTTATAAAGATTTGAATTTCGTTAACAAGAGAAGTAAATACCATCATTGTATATTATAATAGAAATATGTGTTATGATAATGTAATAATATTCATATTTATGGTTCCTTATTTGTTTTGTTTTTTACTTTCTTCAGCCAAAAAAAGGTAATTTGGGTTAGATTAATTGATTGAGACAGTTATGTTTTCGATTTTGAGTCGTTATCCAGTCTATAGTAATATAAGTTTGATACGATGGTGAATTAAATATAAATCATTACTGCTATCAGCGTAAATGATCACAATAACAGTTCTTTGGGTTTGAGGAATAGAATGTCGACGAAGTTTAGAAAAACGCTTGAGAAAAAATATTTCGTATTTGAACATCAGCAAATTTGATAACTAGGTCTCATACTCCATATAATAATGATTTTTTTATAATATAACATATAGGAAATATAGATCTTTTAACAATTGTCTTTATTCCGTCAACAAAAGTGAAGATTAACACGAGTACAACTTATTAGAGATGCTGACAGCATAAAAGTTTGGTATGTTTCAGGTAAAAAAGATAGGCAGCAAATCGGTCAACGTTTCTAAAAATATTTTAAGACTCAACTCGAAGATTAATGGAGTGTTTCTTATCATTTTTATTTGCTCATCTCGTTCGGAATACTAAATGAAACTATTTCATTAGAATGTCTGCCAATAGGAACTAATGAAATGATGTCTTAATGTTAACTGAAATACCAAAAGTTTACGCGGGAAAGTATTGGAACGACGATGATCATGTTATATCTTCAAGAAAAAAGTTTCTCTCTATATATGATCTTACTCAGTTGAATTACCATTTATAGGAAGTGTCGAATTCTCGAAAGCGATTGCTGATTATTTATCTACCTTTCTCTTTACCGATGACTCATTCATCATGAGGTAAGGACAATAGTTATGCTGATGTCTACTGGTTCGGGAAGAAGCTTATATGTCTCTAAGATTCAATATAATAAGAAAAATTCACCTCAAAGAATTTCTACAAGTTCAACCTCCCTCAAATCCTCTCTAAAACAATAGATCAATTTTAGCTACTTCGCTTAGTATATTGAATTAGTGTATATTGTACATCTAGATTGATAAATCATGGTAATGTGATTAAATTTATTCCCTGTTTGATCAATATGTTGTTTTATAATGCTATGTGTTCACAACCATAACACGTAAATCCTACATTCTGTTCTCACTTATTTAAATGAATTTATAAAACTTTTTTTTATCATTCACTAAGCCTTAAACATAGTTCTTGATCTTTAAAATGTAGCATTTAATTTTCATAAATATTCACCGCAAATATATACTTTATTAAATAGAAAGGTATATTGTAAATCTAAATAACTAAGGGATCGCTTAACCAGTTAATTTGAACTATTAAAAGTCTATTTATTCTGTTTGAATAAACAGATGTATCTACAGGATCGAATTTTTATTTCTATTCAAGAAACTTTTTTTTCTTTATCCGATTTGTAGTTTTACACATTTTTTAAATCAGAATCGATTAGATAAACAACTTATTGTTTTAGTCACTTCAGTTATGTCTGATTTTTTATCATATCAAATATCGTAATCGTCTTCTTATTTATCTTGGAAATTATCTTAACAGATGATAACTGATATGAAATGTCTGATATAGTTTCAATGATATCAAAGATCGATGAAGTAAATAATGTAAAATATAGCGTTTGAGTTTCTTATGAAAATGATAGTGTTTTACCTATTCTTATTAGTGGTTAAAATTAAACGATGCCCCAATAATCATTAGACAAGTAGAAACTGAAGTAAACGAACTATTGTAAGTCATCTTTATTAAGTGCTGGCAATAGCTGAGTTACTACTGAACTTTCAGGTTTTACGTTGAACTCTTCTCATGTTTAACTCACATTTGAGATCGAATCAGAACTACATCACTTCCTCAATTAATTGGATTCAGGAAATATGAACCATTTGATTCTAAGTCAGTTAATATTAATCTTATCGCAAAAGCTTTTAGTTATAGGTTTAGCTCACTATATGTTCATGAGTGGTCATGTTTGTGAAGTTTCATAATATAATTAACAGCTTTTTATTACATCTTGCCCATTGTTGATGTTCCAGGTGACATTTTCTGAAGTGAACATTACTCACTTACTTACGCCTATAACCCCCACCCCGTGGAGGAACATGGGCCGCCCACCAACATTCTCCATCCAACCTTGTCCTGGGCAAACTTTTCCAGTTCTTTCCATTTGTTACTCATCCTTTTCATATCTGCTTTTATTGCCCGACATAATGTGTTCTTTGTCTTCCCCTTTTCCGCTTCCCTTCAGGATTTAAAGTTAGAGCTTGCCTCGTGATGCGATTTGTTGATTTCTTAATGTGTATGTTATCAACTTCCAACGTGAACATTACATTTAGTTATTTTTTTAACCGTCTGAAAATTAATCAACACATACGAATTTTAATGGTTGAGAACATGAGTCAATTGAAGCTAGACCACCTGGACAGCCATTTCGTCCCATTGCAGGACTCCTAATAAATGCATCTGTATACATTTTAATGATGAATGAAAATGTTAACATCTATAGAACGATAGTCAGTTGTAAACATTACTGTTTCAATGAATAATTTTGATTAAACATGACATTAATTCATCTACAAATCGAAATTTTATCTCCAAAAGGCCGATTACAGTTTTATTTAAACGTTTTGTCAAATTCTGATAATCAAACTCAAATATAAGACATATCTCTAAGATGATGCAGAAGTTTGTGTTCATGATATCGTTCGGAAGAACAATGAAATCTCGAGAACTAAACCATCCAGCTCGGAGAACAAAATGCCATCAACATATATCTAAGTTGTTAAAATTATGATGTACTTCAACACTGATTTTACAGAGATTTCTTTCAAAATCTTCAGTTTGTATATATAACTATAGATTTAAATTTATTAGTAGCACAATTATGTTATTTCTTTTCCGAATAAATGAGAAGTTCAGCCTTAAATTGAAATTATTATTACTTAAATAGACTGATAAACAATCTCAACACATAAGAGCTGTGCATTTTTCAATAAATCCATACCAATATAAAGTTATAAGTAAAAGTATTTCATTTAGTTAACATTTGTTTGAAGATCTTTAGACTTGTATCATGTATATTGGTATTAATAATATTAATACAGTGCTTGAGTTGATTGATCACTTAATGTACACCATGATTCAGTAGTATTATTCTTGTATAACACATACAATACACAAGGTTTATAATATGTACAACGACCAATGATCAAAGAGCTCACTTTACTTTAAATCTTTCCTGGAAACAGAAGAAGATACTAAAAGTATGTTCCAAATAAATTTCATAATATTCAAGTTTTAAAGTACAAATAGTAAAAGTTACATCAACTGTTATCTATAGAATGGAAGTACACACATTCAAATCATTCGATATAACTTTGTGATATATTCGCTGAACTTTCCTTTTATCATTGAACCACCAAAATATCTCCATGATATAATTTCTTTTAGGCTGTTAAAAATTTCATCAGTTGGTTGATTCTATAAATATATATATGAAATAAAGTAGAATAAATTTGATGTAGTGGTATCGATAAAGAAAATATTCACTTTCAAAAAACTACATTCCCAAATCTTACCGACTTTCCAAACATCTAGTACCTGTTTCGAAAAATAACTCTTCATTAAATCTATATTGGTTTGTACGTAAATTTACAGTTACGTTTGCATTCGCCAAAGTATACAGGTAAAATGAAAGTTATAATTAGTATTTTTTCTAGTATTAAAAAATCCAATAAATACCATCAACAGGGATGATGCTATTTTAATTACATCCTTTAGTCATAAAATAGTTAACATCAATCTTAGTTTATAAAAAAAAAGAACAGCCAAATGTTTTATTTCACTCACTATTTGTATAGACAAATTAGGAACCATAAATGTAAATTTTGTTGATCCGTCTTTATCTTGATCAGCATTATGCATAATTTTACCAGTTCGAAGAATTTTATCAAATCTATCTAACCATAAATTGAATTCACTCTAAAATTAAGTAAAAAGGTTTAATTATTAATTAGTAATACCATGTAAGAAACTACATCCATCTTCGAAAATATTGATAAAATTTAACAAGCTTCTTGATGTCACTAACGGTTATTTAGAGATTATAATAATTTAAACAATCCTTTCAAATTATATTAACGACTATGTCAGTGAAACTAGCATTTATTCAGTAATAAAATTCGATTTTGATAATTCCTTTCTAATTGTATATAGATACTAAATAAGTAGTATGTAACAAACAAAAACAGTTAAACGTTATGTTTCCATGTTATTGAGATGTACAAATGGTAAATTCAGGCGAACAGATTTTTATTTAAAATGGTATCTCATTTTGATTGTGATTTCGTTAACTTGTTTTCGCTATCTAAATTTATTGATCAGTGGCTTCTCTAAATCAGCCAACTGTTTTAAAATTGTGTTACCGGTGAGACTATAATTTATAGACGAACTAATCATATATGAGATAACAGGTCTCAGATTTTCGCGCAAAATTCACTCACCCATTTGAATAAATAGAATTTTTGGCATTATAGCTGATATCAGTTGGTGATGAAAACACTAAATCTAATTCTTAACCCTATACATCAACTGTAAATCATAATTCTGTTTCCTCACACTGGTTTATAACCTTCGTTTGGTCCTGGTTATTAGCGTCGCTCAAAGGTCGTTCATAAATTATAGTCTCATCATCTTACCTAACATTATTGCCAAACTTTTCCTACCCATAAAAGTACGTTAGAAAACCTTCGGTAATATTTATGTGCATTATTCAATAACATGAATCGTGTAGATGTTAGACATACATGTAATGAAGTTCATAAAAGATAATACTTTGGTATTTAACATAGAAAAGACTAACTACATTCAGTAAAACTTTAAGCAGTCTAGATTACTCATTTGACCATAACTTTTCGTCAAATCACATTTGTTTTAATGCTGAATTATGTAGCAAGTAAAAACAAAGTATTAAATGATGACTAATAAACAGATGTTAGTTATTTCGAACGATTCGAATAACATTTAGAAGAATATATTAAAGTTAAAATTAAGAGATGATAAATTTTTGGTATACTCTTCATATGTTTTTAGCTAATTTAATCACTCGATCTGTATCAGCTATCAAACAGCTATCCTATATAAATATATATTGAATTCTTTATGAGAACTTACCTGAAATTCCAAATCAGACTGATTTACATTTTCAGAATCTAATGGTTTTTCATTTGTCTTAACAGATGATGATTTCAATGCGGTACTTTTGACATTTATATTTGCCTTATCTCTTTCAGATAAAATATTGGCTGCACTGTATTTTATCACTATTTTGTTGAATTGATCTATCATTTTAAAAAATTCATCACTATTATGGAATAAAACCAAACGTTGTTGATAGACATGTGCTTCACTAGAATTAAAATAAGTATTAAAATGAATATTTCAATCAAAATGTATAATTACACCATAATGTTCTTTAAATTTTAATAAACCCATGTAGAAAGACTGTCGTTAATCTACCATGAAGATTTAGTTCATTATCACTACTGTTATACATCGAGTAGTTGAAAAAACTAGTGATAACAATGGAATTCTTAGGAAACAAAAGTCAATATCATCGATTTTGTTTATTCATTAGTTATATATCAGCTTTCTTATCATTACTATTCTATGAATGCCTTTTTTAAATATGAATAAAAGTTTAAATGACAATTAAATACTCACTAAAACTAGTATGATACAATAAAATATACATCATTACTCACATTTTTGCCTTTGGTGAATAGCAACTTATTAGAATCAGTAGGCATTTATGAAAATCGCTATCATTTTCAAAATTATTGATCGTTTGCATTAATAAATACTTTGATAAACTACTTCCCCCACGTCTAGTCTCATTTTTTATTTTAATAGGCGATTTAGGCTCGAAATTCAAATTGTATGGTGATATGTATGATTGAATAGAATTTTCATTTTCTGAAGTATGATCATTAAACCAACTAATTGAAGTGTTCATAATGTTAGATAAATGGCCGAACGTTTCCGTTTCTATAGAAGCATTCAGTTGATACAGGTGAACTTGGAGTGATGTAAATCGTTGAAACCAGTATTCTGCATCATGTGAATAGTAGGGAACTGCTGAAATAGGAACTATTACATTCTGCATCGAAACTTTGCTAATACAGTCTTCATTTTGACTTTCTACAAGTTGTTTTCAGTAAAATTAAATAGATTATAATATACTTGGTCAGACTTTTAACACTATAATTATAGTATTTCTAATTTCTTAAATGAATGAGGTGAGTGCTATATTATCAGAATTCCCGTTTATAAATTAATTTCATATAAATTATCAATTAACACTTTGATACTCTACCGTTAACTGCACTTCCTCAAACTCAGTTAATTGTTCAAGCAATGATAAACACTCATCGATTGCAGTCCTTAACCTTAATGGGAAGATTCAAGCAAACAGTACCAAGTGAATGATAAACACTATTATGTATAAATTTAGGAGAGGACATTTCTTCGTGTAAAACTACTTTATTGAGTCGAACTACCTTACGGAAAAAATTACACAGATTTGATAATTAACCAAAATATTTATGAGGATTTATTGATGAATCCGTTATCGACTTGCATTGATTGTATCGACATCGACCTACAGGGTATAGTTGAGTATGAAGAAGAATCACAAAATAAAGTCGCGAATTGAACGCTGTAACTACATGGTTTCATCAGCTAAAATCTGTACAAATATAATTCCATACATAAAGTAATCAGATGGTCCCTTTATAAATCCAGATAGTTCACGTTATAACCTGACTCTGATCAAATGTCTCAGATGAATAACGTCTTTCATGAAAAGTCTTGATTCCTCTTCACATGAGTCAATGTTAAATCCATTTCATTATTATTAAATCCATAATTAGGTAGGCGTGATTTATACGAAAGTTTCCTATCTGATCTCAATCTATGATCCAAATCATCTTTAGGTTATATAGATCTCGGAAAACTGCCTAAGTAGACAAGTTTATATTATTGATTCTACTGGTTTCAATGATGGATACATGTGTTACACATGGAAAACCAATTTTTCCACACTGTTTGTTTAATTAAAAACATACAAACATTGACCAGTTAACCATTTGTGTAACAACATAAATATTAAATTAAATTAAAATTAATTAAATTAACTGGGAACAAATCTGAAAACCTGAATACAAATACTCCGGTGATTTTTTTTCCAAACATGTCCCGGTGAATTTTGTGGTTTCCTAAGCAGTTATTATCACAGTGTGTTTAGAACGGCTACATACTGTCCAACAGTAGCATGATTCATATTTTCATAAATTATCGATAAACTGAGATCATATTACTTATGGCCATGAATAATACATTACTTTGACACCGATGATTATGAATTAATTACAAGTTGCTGATCTACTGATTTAAATCAGCCTGAAAAATCAATAATACCATGTTTTATTTCATATTACCGGTTCTTTCTGTGATGATACTTAGTCACCAAAGCCAGTTATTTTATTTTTGTATGTATGCAATTTGTAAGAATGGAGCTGCGCAAAGTTCTAAATTTTATTGGAATCATGAACTAATTTAAGTCAGACAAACTCGGAAAACCCATAAGCCATGGGTGACCTTCTCTTTCTAACATGAGGGTTCTCAGAAGTGCCCATTCATCTTTCATTGTTTTCTGTGAAAGCTCTTTCCACACTCAGTAGTGACTAACTATCATGGACCAAACGAAGTCAAACTTGTACACTACTAGATGTTAGCTCAAAGGTTACGGGTTAAACGTTCATGAGAGATTGAGGGTACGGAGTCCAATTTCCATATACAGCTTCATGGTTTCGTACCCCCAACAAACCTTATATCAATGCTAAGCGGCCGTCCAGTGTTTGCAGATTCCTTAGAATTGTCTAAATTTGATCAGTCTGTGATTTCAAAAAAGTGAAATGTCATTAGAAATAAGTAATCAGTGAGATTAAGTGAAAACACTTAGTACACAGATTCGCTATTCGGATATAATACTGTTGAAATAAACATAATAACCAGTGAGTATGAGTGTAAAATAGAGGCAGAATAGAGTAGAATAATTATGAAATTGATTTACTAACTAGATATCTGAAAAAAATTAAAGACAAAATGCCACATAATATATTTCTATACAAAGGGATTTATTGATTTGACCTGAAAAAGCCGAAAAACTAGGATGTGTTCACTTTAATTATAATAAATGATATTTGACTGATACATAACCAAGTCGGTAAGCTATCAAACAAAATTATTATCGTAATTTTTTCTTAAATCAGTGCATAGTTTCTTACCTTGACAATTGCTGACGCTAGGACCATTGATATTCTGTTCATTTAGTTCAAGCAACTGTTTAACATTTAACACATTTTCATATAAAACTGATTCATATAACTTAAGTATATCCATATTTAGTTTAATTTTCTCCACCTTTTTCCATTCATATTTCTGATTAGTTAATAATTGATTTTCATCAGAAACCATCGAAGTAGGATGGAATACAACATTCCAATATTCCCTGACAAGAGTTTGATTTTTCACATAATCAAATAATCCATCGAATTGATTTGATTGTTGAATTAAATTTATTAACTCATATTCTTCATCACCTAAATAAATAAAATAATAAAAAAAACAATAACCAACGTTTTATTGTAACTTTCATAATAATCTTATACCGTTTTTTTGACAAGTTATGGTTATAAAAACAGGACACATCTGTATATTTCATGATAAAGCTGCTGAATCATTCGAAAAGTATGTATAATGATAAAGTTTATTAATTGTGGAATATTATATCACATGTGAGTTGAGATTTAATGATTTAATTTTCTATTTTGTTTCTTTACAAACTGGATGCATTTGTACATCGTCAAGTTTATCAGTATAAACAGATTTTAAACTAAATTATTTCTGTTAAGAAATGTTTTACGGGATCTAAAAGTATATTCCTATTAATTTTGTAGAAAGTTTTTCAAGCCTTAATTGAATCTACATATCTAATATATCAGAGGAAAATGTTTGCCAGAAATACGTTACACTAAATAAAAAAATACATGGACAAACTCTACTGATATATCCAGGATGATTTCCTACACCTATCCTCTCAGATTTATCTCAGCGATTGTTTCTAGAATACCCAATATGATATTTTGTAATTCAGATAGACAGCGTAACAAACTCAACAGATTCAACATTTTTCAAATACTAGTTATGGTATAACATACATTTGTCAAAAGTGATTTTTTAATAGATGTTAAAACGCGGATCGATCTAAGGTAGACAATCATTGTAAATTCGAAAGCACTGAAAAGTTGTTTCGTCTCAGTGTGAGATTGTTCAGCAGTGCACATAAACAACCCTGTACCCAGGAATCAAACCCAGAACGCTATGTCTCGCGCGTCAATGTCAAACCTACAAACTACTGAGAGCGAATCCAAAGATGCTGATCTTTAACTTTGATTGATCAACGATGGTGCAATACCATCTTGTTTACTTACTGTAGAGAACTGTCTCACACTCTACAATAGCTTGATTTCCACAGTTATTTGATTAGGTACCCAGACTTTCACATTGTCCGGACATCCCATCTACGTATAATAATTGTTGCACTGATTGTTTGATGGTGCATCGACCTCGTTATTTTAGACGAAGCTCGGCTTTCAACTTTTGGCATGACGATTCTTCTAAATAAAGATCCTTCAACCCCAAGGATAGATTTTTTTACAGGATAACATTGCTAAACCCATGTCCAATCCCCCTCCTTTACTCAGGTTTGATACTGACAATAACCCCAGAAGATCTACATACAGAGTTCCACAAAACCTTATAAATGTTTTTCCATAATATTACAACAAAATAAATTGGAAGAATTCACACCTAAAATTCGGTTTCTACTATTAAAAAACCTTTCCCAAATATTTTCGTTATTCCTTAAAGACACTAGTAATAAGGTAACCGAAAGAGAATCATCTTATGTTAAGCCAAATATCACTGCAATCATTAGATCAAATGTTCGTTTTTCTTAGAAAAAAAAAGATTTTTTGTTGTTGTTGATAATATTATCTTTATTGTTTGCTTCTAATATCATGTTAACCAATCAAAAGATTTACTTTTTTTAATTTTATAAAAATTTAAATTAATTATATTTTTTTGATCATATTTTTTTTAAATTTATTTATGAATTCAACAAATGAAATATTGAAAATCAGTCTTATCTTATTGTTTATTTTAATTTATTTAATCGACTGACCTCATTTTATTGACATTTATTTGACTAACAAATTCCTTTCAATATATATATATATATATATATATATACATTTAACACACATCTATTTCCTAAGGACATTATACGTCAAAGCAACTATAGTTAACCGGTTAAGGATAGTATAGAGCATAAAATTATTCTAAATGTATAATATATTGCTCAAAATGGTTACCTGATTTTTAATTAAGTCGGAAATATTAAAAAAATAAGTTTAATAGTATTTTGTACATTGTATGATGTCTATATAAAATGTTGTACGGTACTTAAATTGTCAACACCTGGATTTATAGCATAACATACAATAATCACTGGTTTTATATTATTTCTGTAAACAAAAATTACAAAGTGAATGTGCGTATATAACAATGAATGATTAAAAGATTAAAGGGAGCAAAACATGATTATGTTCAAACTTTTAAAATCAAGCGAAGAATATAATAACTGTTTTGTTTCATACTACATACTTACTTTCACAATCTAGGTGTTATGATACATCTTACCAGAGTTCATTAAAAGTTATAAACTTACCTGGTGAAATTATCCGAATGGAATCTAAACACTTTTTTGCTACTAAGTCAAACTGATGCATAATTGACGAATCACCTTGAAACGCTTTATCAATTGCTGAATTTGTACGTTTGGGTGATTCACTTTTAGATATCTTGGAAATTATTGATTTATTTCTATTGTTTAATTCAGTTGGATGCAGAAAATCAGTAGATTTAAGAGAAGTTGATGACGAACATTGTCTGCGTTGAGATAAGAATTGATCAATCATTAGTAAAATATTCCAGATACATAAACTAACAGACTGAGAAAATCTATCAAACGAATCATTGATCCCCACTATTTCGTTTGATAATGTCGCCTCAAGTTCTTTTTTTGATACTGATGGTTTAGATTTCTGCATGTTAAATGAAAGAATCCAGATAATACATTCAATGATATTAGAAATACTATATGAAAGAAATATGAGATTAACTTTCTGATAACTCGATTAGGTAATAATAAGATGCCTTAATTATCATCTAACAGATATAGTGGCTCAGTAATATGCTTAATTAGCTTAACTCAATATGTTAAATCATAGGAAAATTATTTTGAAAGATCAAGATAGCCGTTAGCCTGAATGTTTCCCCGTAATATGTGTCTTATGGATCGAAGATTTTGGCGAATACTATACATAATATTTCGAATATTTTTATAAATTTTGTATGCGTCTCGAAATGTGGAAAACTTTAAATACATACATTGAAAGAGATCTAGGATGTTTGGGTGTTTAAGATTTTTGGAAAAAAAGAAGTTACTTACTTAGGGCTGTTACCCCTATGGAGAAGCATACTCCGCACACCAGCATTCTTGATAGAACTTGTTCTTCCCCTCAAATCTTCCTGAATAGAACGTGGAGCATTTTTACAGTAATTTCTAAATCTAACTTCAGTGCTTCAACTGGAATGTCGTCTGATGTCCATGCTGATTTATTCGATTGTTGGTGGAGTGACATCCGTATGTAGGTCTATGTAGGCTACCTCTAGGTCCGGTGTACCAAATGGGTTCTTCTAAGTTTTTTATCTATCTGTTCCTTTTTTCATGAATTTCAGCTATTGACTGGCCTTGCTTGTCCTTGACTGGTCTCTCTAGTTTGCATAGTTCCCTGCTAATTTCTTCATTGTGTCATATAGTTGTCTAATATTTGCTTATCTTGCAGCTTTTTCTGCTGTCTCTGCTAGGTCTTTCATGTATTTTTGCTTATCTGCTCTAATGCTCCACTTCACTTGTTTGCTTCTACGTATTCAGTTTGTGCCTTGACTTTCTCTGTTCTTGTTCAACTGTTTTTAGGTGACGTCGTCTTGCCCTATTTATATCTAATTATTCGAATTGATTTAGTCGATGCAAAATTAAAACTTTACATAAGGGTGTATCTTGACCAAAAGTAATATACTTTAGAGTAAATTTAAACAGAAGCTGTGGGGTTGCTTGTTCGAGTGCTAATATCAAATGTATATTGATATTTTTTTATGATAGTGGTAAACTAGTTTAAACAGCCAGTTGAATTATACTCAATTTAATCCGCAAAGGTCTATTTAACTAACTATATTTGTAATCCGTGTCTAGTTTTACGCATTAAAAAGAAACACAATCAAATTAATTTGCTTCCGTTTTCATATAACTTTTATGTGTAAACATTATTGCTGTTAAGGATTGTTATTGTAGTAGCAGCATCTAACACGACATGGATATTTATTATAAAACTAATTAACACATGGTTTAATTAAACACCTATCTATGTATGAACATTTCGCAGGAAAACTGAAAGTTTAATTCCATATTCTATGCATGATCAAAACTTTTCAATCAAATTTAAGTATACATTTTTTACATTAAAAAAGTGGAATGAGTACTGCTTTATATTAACTAGATATTTCAAGGAGTAATGCTTACATTATCCATAATGTTCTGTACATTGATAGTCGCTAACTGTTGGCATTTTCGTTGAATATATACTAACTGCCAAAAATAAACTAACATTATTTCTGTTCTGTGCTGAAATCTATTCAAAAAAAGGAAAAATAAATAAAAAATTTTTTTTCATACATACTTGAAGAAATATTCAATTTTTTAATGTTTTTTTATATATAAATAAACTCATTAGGACAAACTGAATCATCTTTAAAGTGGAAGAATGTATTTGTAAAATATCAACGAATGAAGTTAATGTAAAAGAAAACCAAATAAAAACATATCAACAGCATTTATGATGAAAATCAAGTACATTAAGGAGTCGGAATCTCTTGACTAACTTTTCTAGACTGTTTAGTTGAAAGTAAATATAATGAATGTTTAAAAATTAGTATTTTTCGAAAGTGAACATATTCAGGGAAATTTCTATAATTTAAGTCAGCACATCCACACTCTACCGAATTGATATTGGTCAAAAATTTGATAACCAGGGTTCAGAAACTTGTTACTGAACTAAATGGTATAGGTAAATAATATATTTGTAATATCCCAATGAGTAGAAAATTAGATTTTCTGACGTTTCGTGACTTAGTGTAAGTCACTTCTTGGATTAATTTTAATTTGGTTATTTATTCTCTGAAGAAGTGACTTACACTAAGTCACGAAACGTCAGAAAATCTAATTTTCTACTCATTGGGATATTACAAATATAGTATTTATTTAAAACAATCAACCCAATGCTCAATTTATCCTAAATTATCAGACAATGATTTTGTTATACATTTTTATACACAAACTTTTGTTGGTGCATTTTATTCTACAGCAAATAGCAGAACATAATTTCGACTTAGTTAAACCACTTATACGCTCCTGTTTTGAAGTTTGAAATGATACAAAGATACTATAACATTAATCATGTTGATACATCGAAGAAAATATGACGAAATATCATATCCTAAGCATAAATGGTTACACCTCATAAATTATTCAAAATGCAAAAAATGAAATCAAGTGTAAGTTTAGTCGTCCAGTGCTGTCAAATCACGACTGGTAAGGCTGCAAAAATATCAGCAGTTTAATGTGATATCTGATCCTCAGCATCGTACATTTCTTAATAAGACCGTTGTAGGACTACAGGGCAGGAAAAATCTCGTATGTGGACCCTCATTTTATTTTTATGCAATCATCCATATTTTAGACATAATGTCGTTGCTTACTATAATGTTTGTCTCAAAAATCAGTGTATCTTCTAATTGATGACATTTTTAAAGCGACGTTTAGAGCTATAACATGGCCTAATAAATATCTTGATTAATTCTAATATATGTCAATGTTTTTCAGATATGACTATGTATATAAATTTAGGTCTTTCATTTTATCAGAAGAGGGTTTTGTGGAGATTGCAGTAATTTAATAAATGAGTTTATGGGTCAATTAAAGCTAGACCACCATGGAAAACCTAGGAGCACTGACGGCTGTTTCTTCCCATCGTGGGACACCTCAGTGGTGTGTACCCTCGATCCCGCTTGTGGGGCTCGAACCCAGGATCTTCATTCTCTGCGCGAACACTTAACCTCTAGACCAATGGTGTTAATGTCTAACTTCAATTAATTCATGAAGTCAAGCCACCGTCCTCCATTGTCATCAGTGAGTTATTATCTCACAACAGACCCAGTTGAACTCCATTGGTCACGACTTCTCACTAGAACTCCGGGAAATACTTTTTGAAGCTAGTCACTAGCGAGCACATGATGGTTTTACATAACAAACATATCTAACATTTGCTAAACTTTGACTACACTTTACATTTGAAGTTAACCTGTGCCCAATTATAAACAACCAGCCATCTGCCTACCTAATTCAAACTAGTACTGTTAACCATTTTATTGTTTATTTCGTATAGGGTTTTAAACTCATTATACTGGCCTTGTGTTTGATCTAATTCCTTTTTTTCTTCTTTTTATTAGCTATTTACCGAAAGACAAATTCATTTGAATGAAAGCTGATTATTTTTCTATTAAACGCGATAATTACAAAGTCAGTTGCGGTACAATTACTGTAAACCTGCGAATATGTTTCAGTATATATAATAACACTGTAACAAACAATAAATGAATATAATATTTTGAAAACAAAGTTATATATATTACTTATTATTTTAACAGATATCTCCATTTGTAATGTCAATCAACAGCTTAACAGTAAACGGTCTCGAATATAAATAAATAAACGAACTATGATATTTTACTATTTTAAAATTTACGTCTAAAACGGCTTTTTCCCATAAGTTCATCTTCATGTGTTTATAATCTAAATAATACAATCAATTCAAAACAAATAATTTTATGATAAATAAAAAAAAGGGTGTGGAACATCATTTTATAGTTTGACCTACAATTTATCACCCGTAACAAATGCAGAAATACAAATTGAACGTAACCAGCTTTGAGAAGGTAATTGCCAATCAACTTTATTTTCTAAAAACAATCTCATTTCTATATGACCTTTAAAAAATAAATCAATGTGAATATTATCTAACTTAGAAATTAATGAATTTAATAAAGAAAAATTTTTAATAAACACAAATTATTCACTAAGCACAACTTCAAAATGACTTACATAACCGAATTAAAATGAAAAATTTATTTGAACATATAAATACTGGTACAAAGGGGCACCAAATACATATCCGCGGCACAAGTCACTTGATTTGTGTGTCGGATGTGATACTGAGTGGTTGCCCAGATCGAAGCAGGTGATTTTCTCAGGGGGCCATACTCGGAGCCTTCGACCTAAAGGTCTGATCCACAAGGCAGTGGAACAACGTTAGGAGATGCAGTCCTATGGTAGCCGGTGACCAACGATTGGTTCATACACCATTTCTTCCTTCAGGATACTCGAGCCCATGTGCACCATTGGTTTGGAATCAGGGTTTTCCAACTCCCCTAGGTGGAACCTTGTATCCACCAACCCGGTTAAAGTGCTGGACATTCGCTTTTCGTCCTCTTGATTTCGTAAACAGCACTGACGACAGAAGACAGTGATTAGAACTTTCATTGAAGTGGCTGTATACGCGTGGTCATGTGAGAGTATTTCGAAAGAAAAGGCTGACTCTCCCCACTCTTGGTTGTACCAGGGCATTTGGAGGCTATAATTACTCAGGTGCATAATTTGGGTAGAATTTCGTTCATAAATCATTGGCACAAACTTTATCTATGATAATGTCTAGTTAAGAAGAAGTGTCTTGGCCATGAAGAATATATACCTACTCATAGGAACAATTAAATATCATGTTTACTTAGTTGAATAGTCTTGGTATGAAACTTTTAACAGAACAAAGTTAAATAGAAGAGAAAACCTTCATCATTAAGAAAAGTCTCTATATAATTTAAAGTTTGGAAATAAGTTACATTGTCTAGTAACAAATGGTGTATATAAGATATTAGAATCTATCAAAATGAATTACCATATTTTATCATGAAAGTATCCAAAAACAAATATAGAAATAATCATCCGGATTATTTTTTTCATTTACTAACACGAATTAAAATTGATCATAACACACAAGCATTAAGATATTCGGCCATAAGTTTGTGAGATAGCTGATGTTATCTCGTATTGATAGAAGTAACATATAATGATATATTATGTAAATTTACAGACCGGTAACCATTAAAAATGATTATATATTTTGTTTGCTTATAGCATAGGAATATCGGTTAAATGTATATGGTACTTTTATAATGGATAGATTCGATGATGAGCAAATAATGTGTTTGGTATAATCACCCCTGAAAATGACCTGAGAGCTCTTAAAACAATCAACATCGAGGTCTACAGGACAAGCTGTGAATCACATGTGGAGAAATTCGAACGCTTCACTTCTATCTGAAGTTTGTGCTGATAATGTCGTCCAGAAGGACGATAAAAGCTCCACGACCAAACCATCCAGCTCAAAGAACAAAACTCCATCAAGATCCCTTAAAACATTTTATTATTTTCACTTTATTCTGAATGAATTATACCTGTAATTCAACAGAATAACTGAAAAGTATTAACTCATAATACACAGATAACGAGAATATTATGTTAGCCTTTGAGTTAGAACCTTCCTATTAAATAAAAGTTAGAAACTTAGTTATCTACCATTTATTGATCAAACAATAGTCATTTGTAATTTCAATTTCTTGAAATAATTCTTTATAACAAATTTTTAAAAAACATTAAAAATCCTCAATATTGATTCAACTGATTTTGGGATCGAAAATGTAATGATTTATTTTTAAAAATAATGAGTGGAAAAAATTAAACTTTCTATTGACATTTCGTGACTCAGTGTAAGTCACTTCTTCAGAGAATAAATAACTAAATTAAGTTTAAATAGTACAAAGGAATTAAGCAAGAATATTAGGTGCAATCAATCAAAAACAGATCTGATCAAGTGAATGTCATGTCATTATGGTCAAGGTGATTTATGCGAGGCATGTTTACATATTTGTGTGTTTGTATGATAAGGGATGAAAACATTTATGATGAGATAATAGTGTGAAATGTGATTAGAAACAGACCTGGCAGCTTGGATAGATGATTTAAGTCGCACGGATGGTGAGGCCTTCTGTTCTATTGAAGGCAATAGGATTAAGCGATGTATCAAAAGCTTTAGCTACTCGCCTTTCATTGTATTTGGAAAATCCTTTTTTTATTATCTTTATGTTTTTGATATCGATTTGATGGTTGTTAAAAACGACATGAACTACTACTGTTGATTTAATTTGGAGTCTTTACAGTACTATGGGATAATCAGGTAGTTTCTTTGAGTACCTAAAATGTTCTTTGGATCAAGTAAGGATTTCACGAAATGACTCTCCAATATAAAATACATCATAACCGATTCATCTTAAGTTGTAGACACAATTACGACTTGAAATAAAGGGGATTCTTTCTTTTAAGCGAACTACAGGATTTTGAATGGTGTTTGTTGTTTTGTATTATACTTTAATTCTGTGTTGTTTTAAGACTCTTTGGATGGTGTTGCCGGCCTGATGCTCAACCCTCCTCCTTCATTATATTGTATGTTTCAAATACGTGAATTGATATATTATTAAACAAAACGGAAAACTTAAATCTGAATTATTTATATCAAATGAGTTCTTCAATTGTTCTTTATAAACAAAAGCCTAATATCATATTAATTGTAAAGGTTTTATTATTCAAGTATGGTCATTATTAATGATGATTGTCGTGAATAAATATTTTGATCCTAAATATATGAGTTTTCGTCAATAATAAAAAATTCCTTACAAGCTTTTTGTGTTCTGAAGAAAAGAGAGCAAGATGAAAACTAAATTAATGGATATTTTATAATCTTCGAGAATGAACACTTTTGATATTTCGATATTATTCTTACATTAGCTTATTTTGATAGAAGCCTTTATAGTCAGTGCTCAGTTGACAGGAATATGGAGATTAGATTATCAAGAATAGAAATGTTGACACGGAATGATATAGTCTAAAAAACCATCGAAATTGAGGAAGGAATAAAAACTGAGTATTTCTTGTATGAAATCCTCAGACTTGCTCACCCAGAAAGCACCTAAAGATCGAAATCACGGCCTTTCGGAGTCACGGTAACCACCTCACACTTGAACTAAGGATTCACCATTCAGGTGTTTATGTTTCCTAATCTGTCAACTCGATAAAGTTGAATATTCACAAGACACAATTTCTCACTAAAATACGAAATTACCCCAAAGCTACTTACTAGTACGAATAGAAAAGAATGGTTTGCTTAGATTTATGTAAAATTCAATTTGATTTGAAATCACACTTCATCTAGGAACGACAAATACCTTAAAAGCTTAGTAATTACATTCAGCGGCATTACTCTTTATCGTCGGTTGATGGTATTTAATATTGTATACCATGGAAAACAAAACTGTCAGCCTAAATTAGGCATCTACCTCTGGGAAATTGAAGAATGAGTCTGACCATTAGGTAGGTGTTTGAAACTTTTTGTTGAAGAGTCTCATACTTAGATAAAATGAATGTCAATGCCACCTAATCTTCAACAATTTCTCAGTTGATCTCATTCTGTGATAAAATCTCACTTTAATCGAAGTGGAAATTAATAAAAACATCTTATTTTAAAGGTATGAGTTCATTTGTAATCAACGTTAAGCGATCTGTCTAAATGGTTCATGGTAGTTGTCATATCACTCTGCATCATCTATGTCTATAATAACAAAAATAGGATGGATTCGTGATGCCGAAACAATCACATCTATTTATATAGGCAGATACAATTTATTAATATTGAGTAGCCTGAAAATTCCCACAGAATATTTAAAAATAAAAAAGAATAAATGTTTGAAATAACTTCACCATCAGACCTTACAATTATAAGTCCATATTTATTATGTTCATTTATGAAGGTTGAAATAAATCATCCTTTATAAATAATTGAATAGTATAAAGAACTACTAGATACATTTTCAAGATAATATTCAAATCACATAGATAATTAATCAAAATATCAGAAGGGCTTTTGTGAAGATTTCAGTAATTTCATTAGTTGAGACCTTGAGTCAATGAAGCTAGACCACAATGGAAAACCTGGAAGCACTGGATGGCCTTTTCGTCCTATTGTGGGACTTTTCAACAGTGCGCATCCAGGTTTTCCATGGTGGTCTAGCTTCAATTGACTCATGATCTCAACTATTTAAATTAATAAAAATGTTAAATTCTACAAATTACCTTTGATGAACAATAATTCACTTTCTATACATGGACAATTTGGTGGGAGGTGTTTTAATATATTTTGAGAAAAAATTAAAACACCTAATGCTTCATTATAAATTTGACCAGAGCTCATATGTAACAGTGTTATCATTCTAAAATAAATATAATAAGGAATTATATAATAAGCATAAGAATATTTCACATCATAAAATAGTTATCTAGACAAATCAAAGAATCAAATTCATAACATTTAATAAACTGAATTCTTCACTGGTATCCAGTTTTTATCACTTTTTAGAATATTCACTGAGATATTGAATGGAATTGTCTTCAATGCTATTATTTGAATAACATTATAACAAGATATAATCAAAGAGGGGTTTTTGGATATTATAATAATTTAGTAGTTGATTTTATGAGTCAATTGAAACTATACCGTGGATGCGCACTGTTGAGGAGTCCAATACTAGAACGAAACGGTCGTCCAGTGCTTCCAGGTTTTCCATGGTGGTATAGCTTATTATTTATTATGATTACTCTTTCAGAATACTTTAATAAAGAACAATAAATTATACATTTATACATTTACTTTATTTTATGACTTTTCATATGAGAAGAGGAACTAAAGTGTTTCGAAACGTTTAAGATCTATTTATCTTACATCCAAGTAATGATGAGAATTCGTCAGAAATCTACAGGAAACTTCCCTCTTTAATTATAAAGTAATTTACTTGATTTGATTGTTCTGTAATGTTGAACTAAAGTATTTTCAAATAGATATTACACTTATGTAATCTTAATGTCCTGAATTAATTAATTGATTGACTGTCATATAGATTTTAAAATATCATGTGAATATTATTTTTGGCAACATTTTTCTTACTGAAGCTTTTATGCACGTTCACATGTGATTAAATGTTCGATGAAAATATTAACCTCTTGTAACGGAAGATTCAAGAGGTGTGTTATAAAGTAATAGTTGAAAAGTCCTTTTAATAGAGTATTTTAATAGCTAACTGTCAATAATAAGTAATATACAAAGTATTTAGTACATAATGTAATAAGTTTTCAAATGATAGAAACTTATCCCACATTAATGATAAATTCTAAGTACGTTTAGCATAACATTCACAATTTCACATAGTTAACGTAAATTTGTCTCCATACATATTCGTAGAGACAGAAAGAGAGAGAGAGAAAATAATGTGAGTTCAATGATAAACAACTCCGTAAATCAATACATCAACGTTTCAACGCATGAACAAACACAACCAATGTTTACTTACATTCCATATTAAAATGACTTATTTTATAAAGTAGATAGATGAATGTTTACTTTATAAGAAAACCTACTCAATATACTTTATATTTCCTACTATGTATTTTTTTATCATACTGACTTTAATACTAAAATATTGATTTTATATTTTTCTTTTTTACAAAACATTTAAGAAAAAGAAACCTTAAATATACTAGTCAAGTAATATGTTTTGTACGTGACAAGCAAGTACAAAGACTAACCTAAATATTTCAAAATTAAGAATAAAAAAGTGATAAATGACCAAGTTCAGAGAAACATATGGTGTGTAAGGAAAAATAAAAGTTAAACGAAATGTAATCAAACACTATTTAAACCTTGACCTAATTCAATACATTAGACATTTAATACTTATACACTATTTTGGAAAACTAAAAATAATTTTAAAAAATATTGTTTCCTTTTTTTATTTGATCTAAAACTCTATTCATTTATTGGTGGTCAGATTTCAAGTGAATTTATGCTTTGATGCGTTATTTGTCAAAATAACTTTATATGTCCTTATGATGTGTAAGTCATTTTGATAAAAGTCATGGACTTTACTACAAATCTAATAGATGCATAAACTGGATCAAGGACAACGAGTACTATGGTGGACAAATCAGTGTTCAATGAAATATCCAACTATAACATGGCATTGTGAAAAAAAAACTAGTAAATGTATATTAGTTTTATGGAGTTGGATAAAAGGTACTAGCCGTCTTGCTAATATGTCTAATATTCTTTTGGTATTAATCCGAAAAATTATGAAGCACGTGAAAAAATATTATTCCATTTTGTATTGGTTGTTTGAATCTTCCCATTGTTGTTTAAGACTGCTATTGATCAGTCTCTCATTATCATATGTGCATCCTGTGCGGATTTCCTCGATGATGCCTTAAGTCACAAGCATTTTAAGTAAAAGAGTGAATATGTCTGGCAATGGAATGCCGGACGCGTGCTTCATCCTATTTGGGATGTACCTACGTCCCAGATTCACTCCAAGAATTGCATCAAACAGACAATACAGAGTGAACTTAAACTTCACCCCATTACATAAGCTAGTGGTTATTGGGACTCAATAGCTAAGTGGATAACGCGATGGTGTCTGAAGCGAACGGTACTGGGTTCAAGTCCCGGAGAAAGTCAACTTCGATGTGCAGGTACATCTAGCTGACGAGTCTCAAATTGAACGAAAGGCGCGTTCTGGATTCCAGTATTTAACATGTACAATCTGTCTCTGTTTATGTGCTCATTTGATAAAGATGTTTCTTAAACTTCTGTCAGAATTGCTAGAATTCATAATTCAAAGAATTAAAAACAAACTCTTTATAAAAACGTTAACAGAGTATTAAATGAAATGATTAAGAGTTCTTTCTGATTTACCAAGTATACCTACCTACAAACAGAATATGTCATTTTTTCATCTAATAATAATAATAATAATCTAATAATTAAATCCCAGTAAGTTTTAAAGTACCCTAACAAATATCACTGAATTAGTGTTTGATATTATGATTTGGTTTAAATTTAATGAATTGATTTGGTGGGATGTAGGCATCGCAAAGTAATAAATTGCACAGAGATAATTTTCTATTTTACTTTCATTTAAATTTTTGTTCCTTATCTAATCACTGTGTATAACTAAGTATTATTCTTTTCAACATGTGTTTTTTTAGGAATTTATCTTACCAGTAAATATTCGAATTGCATACTTGCATACTATTTGATTTCAAAGCAAGAAAAGAAAAAGAAAATCTCTTAAATCAGTCATTTTCGTTAGACCGTATACTGTAATTAACTAAAATATCTGTTATCACAAACTATTTGTTATATGAAGGTCACAGTTTAACAGTAAACTAACCTGATACAATCAGGATGATTATCTCTCATATTATTGGCTTGTGGAATTAAGGAATTTGTGAACTTGATATCACCAAGTGATAACAGAATAAGTGAAACTCTTAATCCAATTTGAATTAAATTTTTCCAATTTTTATGAAGAGGCAATCTGATTTCTGCTATTGTATATTGAAATAATGAAGTGTTTCTGATACCCTCACCACAGTTGTTCAGCTATAACAATGATAAGTCAACTTTATACAAATTGCAATAATGTTTACACTTAAGAAAGTGTAATAATCTGTTTGAAGGTTACAAGGTTTACAAATTTTGTTATGAAAGCTCCCTTTCATTCTATGTTTATTACAGTTAAATTACGATTCCAGATAACGCACTACTGTGTCAAGGCTATATGTAAAAGTATTGCACACAGTAGACTTAACATGTCAAGCGATTAAGTTTATTTAGTCACAACGCTTGAATAACTAAAACAAATAATGTGAAACCTGAGTCGAGATAATTTTAGCAGCTTATGTATACTATTTACCTTGAATCAACTCATTATAAATTCAATTAATTGTCAACTCATCTAATTTCTAAACAACATTTTTTTAAAACAAGTATTTAGTCTCAAATCCCAAATCTTCAATGCTAGTGACAAATTAAATATAATATAAACTTGTAACAATATCCTGGATATCAGATCACGTTGCATGAAGTCTAAATGAGATTGATTAATCTCTGCCTCAAATCTTAACGACAGAGAGATGTGAATAATCACAAAGAACATAATTTGTTTACATGTACTCGAAAAACGATAATAAAACAGTGATAATATTAATACACCATTTAACAGATCAAATCGGTTCTAAGATTTAACTTATGAGTGTAATACATAAAGGGTTGCGCAAGACCATGGATCGACTTAAGTTAGACATTAACACCTTTGGGTGCCAGTTCAGTGACCTAAAGGTTAAGAGTTGTCACGCGAAATCGAAGGTCCCAGTTTCGAGTCTAGCGTGCAAAATCGTGGGTGCGTAGTGTTGAGGAGTCCCGTACTAGGACGAGACGGTCGTTTGGTGCTTTTAGGTTTTCACAAGTTGTCTACCTTAGATTGACTCATGAATTCGACTATTAAAATCCCTATTCTGATAATACATAACTGTCTTTCGTAGTTACCAAAGACTGTAAAAAAGAAAGTAAATAAATATGAATGAAACAGAACACTAGAAATAAAGATGACGTTACTTTGTATGTAAAAACGAAATATAATCAGTTTCTTGTCATAACAAAGGTCTTTAGACAATGTTATCAAGTGATATCATGATTGTCGGCATAACGCAGCTTTAACTAGTCAAAAAAAGTTTATAGTCCGACTTCTAATAAGTCACATATATTTTTACATTATTACAGTTCATCTTTCAGAATTATTGATATCAAAATTTATGACATCAAAAATATTTCCCTTCAGATAGTAAATGCCCAGTTACGTGAAATTCTGGATGATAAATTGCTGACTTTACTAAAGCTGGTTCTTCAATGACAATAATAGATGGTATTCTAAGTAAAACAATATAAATAGAGTTATGTATAGCACAAGGCATTCACAATAACAACAGTGATTATAATAATAATAATAAAATCTAGCTTAACATACCTCTTGTATTAGTATGTTCTGCACATTCAATAATATCTTCAATCTATCTTCTAATTTAATTAACAAACTATCGTCGTTTACTGTTAATATATTTTGAAATGATTCTTGTACTACTGAATCACTTTCACGAAGAATGTCAATAACAAGTAACTGATTACATTTGTTTGTTATACTAATTTCCTCCATCTTATAAAGTTGGTTAGTAAGAAACAAACATAAACAGTCATAGTACCAAATATAAGATATGAAATACATAACTTGAAATTTAAGGACGTTTAACAATGCAGTAAAGAGTGAACACATTGTGCTCATTTATTAGTATTTTCACAATAGGCCAGTTTGCTTATTTACCTAAAAATTTTTGTTTATTTAAACCTAGCATGAACTAAACTACGGAAGAGATGTAACCGACTGAGTGATTTTTTAACTGGAAAACATTTGCAACAACCAGTGATATACTCAATTAAACTTTCCTTGGAATTCATACCCGTTGTGCAAGTGGCTATTGAACTCAGTAGCTAGGTGGTTAATGTGATAACATTTGAAGCGGACGGTACAGCATTGGTGGCACGGAATGAACATAAACACTTTAATTCAGGTACAGCCATCTGACAAGTTCTAAATAAAACGAAACGTGCGTCCTGGTTTCCACTGCTAGCCACATTCCATCTATTCTATATTAACTTTCGTAGAATATTCAATGATACATAGTTGCCAAAACTATATTCCAATTTCAAGTGAAATACTATGCGAGATATTTCGTAAAATATAAATGATCTATTGCCTTATCGTAAAAGTAGCATATATCATATATAACCCTGAGTTACAATTGGCTATTAGGGTTTCTAGCATCTTATAAATTGTATCGTTAATCCTATATATGACAAACAATAAATAAATACTGTTACTGGAAAAGTTTATTTGATGTTTTTTAGCGTATAACTAAATTCAATTTAAATTACGGTAATTGTTTACGTGATAATAAACAAATAATGTTTGGTTGTGAGAATATGGACTATGCCACTTGTCGCCTGAGTTTATGAATGGAATGTAAATAAGTGACAAATATTCATAAAATCAGACTTAAGTACCCAAATAACGAACATCTATAAATAGAAAAACTGATCACTATAGATCATATATTACCTCAGAATAGTACAAATATACAACATCTTTACAAGAAAACAAGTATGATTATAATTCACTTAACATGAAATCGATGTTAGGGTGCTCAACTCACATGCCATTGCTTAACCAATGAAACTAAGACCTGATTATCATATTTAACTCTTGCCAGCCCATTACAATTTATGTTTCTTTAACAAATTATTTAGATAACACACACACACAAAATCTAAGTAAAATAGTAATATGGATAAGACCATAACAATTAGAAAACATTTTTACGGAAGCTAACATACAATTCTGATTGTATAAGATTGACATACACATATAATTGTTTTCTTCTCGAAATACAAGATTTTATGCTTGACATAACGCTATTCTTACCAACGTAATTATTGGTGTTGTTTTGATGTAGAAAAAAATTATTATCATTTTTTAAAACTAAAAAAACAGCTTTTCAATACATTCATTCATCTATTAAGATGTCTATTTATATGTAATTTAATTCCTGTGGAATTTCCTGTAAAAATAATCCATTCAAGTGTGAATTCAATAAACAAACATTATAGAACGAAATCAGTTTCGTGTAAATTAATTGTTCATGTTAATGCACATTTTTTGTTTGTTTGTTTGTTTCTATTTCAGGAAACTTCATCATAGTCGTGTAATTATACGGTCTATTATTATCATTGTTTTATTGTCGAAAAGAAAAAAAAAACAGTACACAACTTCATCTTCATTTTTTGTTATCTTCGTACAGTTATTTATTTTTAAAGCTTTAGATGTTTATTCATTAGGATTATAACAAAGTTAGTATTCAGTGTACGCAGTTTCCTTTATTTTATTTTATATTTTTTACATTCTAATTTCCGTAAATAATCTTTATTCATATTAAAAGATACAAACAATATTTGATGGTCTATTTTTCTAGCTAACAAATAAACAAACAACTTTTTTTGGAACCTGTCTGGGGCTACTTTGGTGAGGCCCTTTATTTTGTCATCACTTAGACCGGACACTGTTTGTTGACGGGCTCCACACTTTAATGGTCCAGGATCTGACTCCGATTTGATCGTATGAATGATTGCTATTGAATTGTATATGTCGCGTTAGTCAATAACGGAATCAAATAAGACAAATAACGAGAATGGACTTTGAATACATATATTTTGTATATGAAGCGAATGGAATAGTGTGAAGCAAAACGACACTCAATGGAGATGGTGGGTAAGCCAACTCCCATTTAGTCAAGCGTTAATCAATATTTATAGACACACAAAAATAAGTTACAAACATTCGATGATAAGAAATGTACACACACCTACGCGCTCATATAAAAACAGTCAAGCGAATAATTAACAAGGTTAAAATATGACTCAAGTAGAATGATCAGATTGAGCTGTTCAAAAGCTAGAATAAGGTTTAACATAATGACCGATAATGCATTAATGCCGGTCCCAAGCCGGAATAAAGGAGGAGGGTTGGGCATAGGGTTAGCGACCCCATCCCGTAGAAAACTAACTCGATAAAAAAACGCTAACCAGAAAAAAGTTAAGTAAACAAACAAATAGACAAATAATTAAGTAAATAAATAACAATAACACAAAATCACAATACTATTTACCATAATATTCGTAGTTTTTGGATTTCCTAATCTATTTCTAATAAATAAAAGTTGATTGTTAAGCATAGTAAATTCATTCCAGTATTCTTTCAATTTCATTATTTTTGTTTCTTCTAATGCAATTTTTAAATTGTCATTTTCTTTCGGTGTTTCATAATTTTCTGTTTCGGGAAGTTCTATTATTATTATTATTCATAGAACAAAATTAATTGAATTAAATTATACGTTAGATATTATTAGATTTTTTTTATTCAATATGATAACTAGGATAACCCTAACCATCTATGAAATGACTAAGTTACCTGAAACCAAAATTGTTTTTATAATTCATTTTATGTTAAAGTTTATTTTACTATGGATTTATATCATTTAAATGAGTTCATTTATTGACCATCATTTGTAAACGTTACTATTGTAATATGTTAATATCAAAACTTTTAAGAATAAGCTGTTTTTCTACACAATTGTAGTAAGAATGTGCTAATACTACAGAGTGAGCATCATGATTAATGCGTACGTTTGGTTAACCTATCTCAACTTTATTGATTAATAAACGAACATATAATTTTACACATGTCACTTGAAATAAATGTTTTTTTAACATAACATAAGAATTATAATAGACAATTCAAGATGGTTTTGCATTGGGTGGAATGGTGAAAATCAGATCATCTTCATGTTCTTTTGATGGAGATGAAGAATAACCCAATTGTACATATATATATATATATATATATATATATATATTGACGCGGCTGAATCTGGGCTTCTCCCTCTAGTTATCAGAGTAGAGTGCAGTAAAATAACTTAGTTTGTCATCTTGTTGTGTGACTTTTGTTCGGTTCGCCGGACCTACGTGATATCATAATATCCTCAACCGTAGCAACTATCATATAGTAACAGAAATTTCTAGTTGAAAATGAGCCATAACTAACAGATATTTAGCTTGTTTTCTGACTGAATGTTACTGAAAAAAAGGCAATTATAATCATTGTATATTATACTTATTTCTACACTTCTAAACAATTTCTGAACCCTCAATCTTCAACGTTAGCCTGTAATTGGACGAGATTCAATCTAATTATTTCGAGCAATCAGCATTCAGTTTTGTCATCGGCGTCCTTGAAAGACATTGGTTGTTAATTAATCATACAGCATTTCTCATTACCGTGCTGATTCAGAAAATGGCTATCTCTCCCGACCAATTACAGTTACTATTTGAGCGACAAACGCAGCGGTTCAAAAATAGCCAGTTGAATGTTCTAGACAATTTACGCGCACGGCTGCTAAATCATCCATGTTTTGGAGATGTAACAGAAGTTGATAAACTAATTTCTAATTTGCATAAGGGGCTGGAAATTGACTGCAGTACATTTGAATGTGTTGATAAAAGCCTCTATGAAACCTTGATGAGCAGTAATGTAAGTGAAGCAGTCATTCATGATCCGCCCAGTGATCCAGAAATGTCTACTCCAAAAACATGCCCAGTAATGGATCCAAACTCCATTATCCTTGAAACATCATGTACAGACAGTGATGTATCCAGCTCACAAAAGGACGCCCTGCTAAATGTTCATGTAAGTGTCGCAGTAACCGCCCATGGGACAGAAAAAAACTCGTGCAGTACACTGAATGCAGCTGCACCAAATGAAGCTCATCATTCCGCGATAGAAGTTCCTGACGAATCTAACCGAGATTCCTTTGATTTGCCATAAAATATGTCATATGTGTCAAATAATAATCAAGAACCTGATTCAGTTTTGATGGACGCTGATTATCATAGCGATCCACTATCTACTAGCGATATTCTCGATAAATTTGATGATAATATTTCCGAAGAATCAAACTTCGATGACCTCATGTCAAGCGTCGTTCACCCTCACCACTTAGTCATTCTCAGTCGATTCTCTGTGCGCTGCGACAAATATATTTTAATTAAAGTCAAATCAATTGTAATTTGGGTATATGAGGACCCAACATTATTTCGTGGGGGAGGATGGACCCGGGAAACTTATATTCCGGATATCAGGTTCGGATCTTCAAAGAAGGGGAGGTGTTGGGGTATTCGGAAAATACCCCAGAAATCATCTAGTGCTATTCCTGAATGAGAAATTGTTTCATTTCCCCATTGTTCAATATTCTTCCAACGTGTCATCTCCTTATTGGTCAATATTTATTTGTGTCATTTCCTGAAGGTTAAATCTTGTAGAAATGTTACTTTCTATTTTATGGTACGATGTAGTCTGTTTGTTGGGTATATAAACAGAGTATGTTTGAAATATAATGATTCATATCACCGAGACTGAGACTTATGTTCTGGACTCAACTGGCTGGTCTAGACAGGGAAGCAGTGCCAATCAGAACTCTAGGCTGCTCGCACGTATTTTATGCGTCACTGTTTCGATCGATAATAGGCTGCTCTCTAATAGGCGGATCACACGTTATAACACTAAGTACTTTCAACAGTTTTGTTAAATATTTGTTGGAAAATGTTATCACACGGAGAGTTTATTACGGCTTTAGTAATTTTTCAATAAAGAAATCTGTGTTAACATCAAAATAAACTAAATTTAGCCTCATCACTTATGCAGGTAAATAATTTACATTACAGTACATGAAATGTGTTTAGAAGTAACAAACATTTATTATAGATTAAAATAGCAAAACTATTCTCAGTAGTTCACTGTAAGTAAACAGACAGTAGCTTTATCATATCTTATTAGTTTATCCATACCTTGAAGTATCCTTCCACCATCCACTTCATATATCTGACAACGAACCAATTCTGCTCGACATCGAAACCATAAACTTAAAACATCTTGTTGGGTTATTTGTTTTTGAGTCACATTTGCTGAATGATTTAACGTTTTGCAGTTTTCAGAGTTATCTAAAATTATTTCGTTAAAAGGGGACTGTCAAAAGTAAGCAAGATCTATGTGTTTATATCTTATCATAAAATGTTAAGTTATAGTTGTCTTACCTCTTAAAATAATCAACCGCAACCCAACATAGTGTATTCGTGTAAACCAGTCGTTATTGAAATAAACGCACAAATTAAATATAAATCTTGTCTTTTTCTCTATTCACGTACACGGTAAGCCTTGATTATACATCATGAAGTGCCGGAATTATTAACTCGAGAAAAAAGAATATCACTTCTATGGTGGTTGTTACGGTCAATTTTACAGACTCCCATCCTTATCCTTTCTATCCATTCCATAAAAATTTTCCCTGACTAAATTATTGCTATATTCATGCTCTTTCTAAGAACATTCCATTCTCAAAATTTATCTCACCAAGTAATGTGGCCAAATAATTCATAACTAATACTCTTTATTTTAATGACATGCTTTGTTATTATACAAAATCCTCGCAATCAACCTATTAGTCTCGTAATTTTGTTTGTCTTTTCTTCCCATCACAATATCAGATAAATATCTGTACAATCAAAAAACATCAACACAGAAGTAATACATAATTTCCATTGTACTGCTCTGAAAGAAAATTCACCGAAATCCCTTCGCTTAATCAATATTCATTATTTCACTCATCACAAAAAATGTTTCGTTCATTTACAACTTGATTTTGACATTCGACGATATATAACGATATACAGTATCAACAAATAAAGTTTAAACTTTGACAGATGAATTACATTTTAATTTTTATACAAAATGTATTTTATGATAAATTGTTATCCATTTTATTGTCCTAAAGTAAATGGTCAATGAAAGTGGTATCCAGAAACGATATAATAATGGACAAAAATACATTCCAAAATTATATATTCAAGTATATTCAGCATGGATTTAGTGTATAAACATCTTTTGTCTACGATAACTCATCAATAATTTTGACTTTCAGATTTTTTAATTAAAGGATTATTCATAAACTTCTCAAATTCCTTTTTTTAAATCCTTAAGTAAATTTATTCTATATTTATTTCATGTTCAATATTAAAACATAATTTACCTAGATATTATAATGTCGACAAACAAAAAATAACAACAATATAAAGACCGGAGTCGGACAAAGCTGTCTACTCTCTTCCTTCCTCTTTCTTCTGGTGGTCGACTGGATTATGAAGACCTCCACATCTGAGGGAAAACACGGCATACAATGGACAGCTCAGAACCAACTAGACGATTTAGACTTCGCAGATGACCCAGCCCTCCTATCACATACACACAAACAAATGCAGATAAAGACAGCCAGCATCGCAGCAGTCTCTGCATCAGTAGGCCTCAACACACACAAAGGGAGAACCAAGGTCCTCAAATACAACACGGAGAACAGCAATCCAATCACTCTTGATGGCGAAACTATGGAAGATGTGGAATCTTTCACGCATCTGGAGGTTCAGATGCAGACGTACAGGCGAGGATTGGCAAAGCAAGGACAGCATTCCTTCAATTGACGAGCATATGGAACTCAAAACAAATTTCAACCAACATCAAAGTCAAAATCTTCAATACGAACGTCAAGGCAGTTCTACTGTACGGAGCCGAAACTTGGAGAACTACAACAGCCACCATCAAGAAGGTACAAGTATTTATCAATAGCTGTCTACGCAAGATACTCAACATCCATTGGCCAGATACCATCAGCAACAGCCTTTTGTGGGAGAGAACGAATCAGTTTCCAGGTGAAGAGGAAATTAGCAAAAGACGATGGAAATGGATAGGACATACATTACGCAAGTCATCAAACTGCATTACGAGACAAGCGCTAACTTGGAATCCTGAAGGGAATCGGAAAAGAGGAAGGGCAAAGAACACATTGTGTCGGGAAATAGAAGCGGATATGAAAGGGGTGAATATGAACTGGAAAGAGCTGGAAAGGATTGCCCAGAACAGTGTTGGATGGAGAATGCTGGTAAGCGGCCCATGCTCCTTCACGAGGAGTAACAGGCATAATGTAATGTTATAGAAGACATTTTGATTCGTGTTTTAATCATGTACTCTATCAGGCAACTACGTTTTCTTTGTTGTTATTTTCATCAACAACAAAACACAGAAACTTAAATAAAATACCTTGAATTCGACTCCCAAAATTCATATATTTAGCTAATTAATTAAATTACCTTTATTTTTTCTTCTTTTACATCTTTACATAAAGACATTTTACATTAGGTTAATTCTTATAGTTTAAAATTAAGAAAACCAGTTATTTTCAGTGTTGTTTCTAATTTCAGGTCAGAAAAAACAAAAATGACAATGACCTAGAAATCTAAAACTTTTTCAGTGAAATATATTACTTATCTTGAAAAAAAAGAAGAGCAAAACAACAACAACACCAGCAACAACAAAAAGTATGATTATTTCTTAAATAATTTGAATGAATGAAAGATTATGTATATGTATCCATACATCCACTAAAAGCTGATTTCAGTATAACAAAAATATATGAAAAATACAAAAAAAGAAAAAAAACCAGATTAAGTTAATGTTAAGTTTTGTAAAAATATACATATAAATAGAATATTTTGTTTTGTTTCAATAGTTGATTAAATATATTCGTCTTCTAATTCTAAAGAAACATTGTTTTACAAGAATGTTTTTGGATATCTTTTTGAGATAATTCTTCATTTATAAACACTAATTAGGAAGATAATATCAGTGTATCATTGATCATTGATATTTTGTTCATTAGTTGTCATCTAATAATGAAGTTACCAAACTATTTAGTCCATTACTAATCTACATAATTGAACAATAACTGTAGTGAACAAGAACATGAGTGGAGACAATCGAATATACTCAAGCACATCTCACTAAAATCTAAAAACTATACAGTAAATAGTTAATTTTCAAAAAATCAATCAATTGTCTCAAACTTGACTGTTACTTTTGTAAATATCAGTCGATTGTCTCATATTTCATTGTTTATGTATCTTCATACCAATTATACTTTGTGCCTATTCTTTCACTGTCGATCTTCCACTGAAATACACTCTATGTCTGATCATCTTATATACTACTTATATGGATATAAATAGCTCACACCACATAACTATTTAGTTCCTTTTCATAAATATGTTTGAATTTTAGATACTTTATCAAAAACCACCTGTGAGTAGTATCCGAATTGGTAAATCAATTGGTAATCCGTTAAAATAGTCATAGATTAAAAGTTACATTTTCATTTCCTAGGTTAAAAAACTATGGTTATTAACATTGTAAAATCACTACAGTAAAAATTAATAACCAATTAATGTTATTAAATCATAACACTACATTAAATATTCATATATTTACAGACCAGTATGTGAATACAATGTTTATGTAAAATAAATACTCACTCATTAACATCATTAAATTTTGAATATATTTTAAGATATAAGCCATCAACATTGAGCCAGAACGTGCTTGGTGCTGTGATATTAATAATTTAGCAAGTAGAATAGCAGCTTCAACGACTATCATAAGTAAAGAATGATCTAAATATGGATGATCTGAAATAGGAAAAACATTGAAATCATGTTTACTTTAATTTATAATGATAATTATTCACTTCAAATAATTTCTTCATAAGAATCAACTACGTAGTACTGCCTCAAAATACGTAAAAAATTGCACTATAGTCAATTAATTTTCCGAATCGGTTATGTTTTTTTACATATTTAAGTTATACGAGCCTACTTAATCTTTGACATACGCAATAAATAATCGCCTTGAATGTGTTCATCGTTTTAGACTAAATATGCGCTATATACGATAGACAGACATGACCACCATGAAAATAAGTAATATCTTCCGTGAGTTATAACAATTACAGTCATGAATGACACCGAATTCCGACTCGTTAATATACTTTTCAACAGCTTTAGAAGTACTTCCGCATATTTGATCAGAGTTTGATTGTGTCAGTGGCTAGCTGTACTTATAACAATTATCTGTTGACATATAGACAAAATGTTTTCAGGTCGTTGCGCTCAATTTTTAATGGTCGAATTCATGAGTCGATCTAAGCTAAATCACCTTGAAAAACCTAGTAGCGCTGGACGGCCGTTTCGTAGTAGCATGGGAGTCTCCAGCAGTGCCCATTCACGATTCCGCACGAGGGACTGGAACTCGGGACCTTCGATCTCGCTCGCGTTTAGTGCTTCTAGGTTTTTCAAGGTCGTCTAGCTTAGATTGACTCATGAAGTCAACTATTGATGTATTACAATTTCCACAAATATACTTTTGTTATGTTCCAATGAGTAGAAATCTTACACTACTGATTTTTCGTGACTTAATGTAAGCCACTTCTTCAGGGTAAATAAATAACCGACGTTAAATTAACACAAGTTTAGATAGTACGAAGGAAACAGTGAAAAATATTTTCAGTACAATCAAAATCATAATAAGTCTGAATATGTCAATGTCAAGTTATTCTTCGTCAAGTTGAACTTGTACGACCTGTTATTGTATTAATTTATGTGTGAGAATATGGTTATGAGAAATGTACACATTTATAAAATGAAGTAGTGGATTGAGATTATGTGTGTGTGTGTGTGCGTAAAAATAATAAAAATAAGATCAAATGTGGTTGTTTGGGGTAGTTTAGCAATACACTATTTTATAATTATCAATCAGTTACTAATGTGACGGATAATCTTCATTAATAATGAAGACAAAAAGTATTCAAAACCGAATATCTTAAAGGTGAATAGAAACAATGATATTGAGATGTGTTAATTAAACTTTCTATTTCAAATAACATTAATTTAAAAAAGAGGAATTAATTCATTTCAAAGAAATTAAATCATACAATTTAAACCAAGAAACCACTGATAACAGCTTTATAATTATTAACATATCACTTTACACCCTTGATATCATTGTAAATTATATTATCTGTCATTAACACTTACATGATTTTGTTTAACAGATGATTTTTAAAGATTATTAATTTTTATTCATAAGTATTCTTAAAGCCTTTATGGGTCCTCGGAATAACAACACAATATACGATGCATTATTATATAAAGATCGTTTGCGTAGTTCATGTCACTT